TATATGTATAGGAACCGTATATTAAACCAACTCGCGTGGGCGGCGCTATTCGTGTACACGCTCCCATTATTTTTTTCAGCGGCGCACTTACTTTGTGCTACACACACGAGAGGCTTTTTCGTTTTAAAAACGCTTTTAATCAAAAAATAATAATAATAATAATACGCATCGCGCCGCAGCTATGGAAGACATGGGGTCGGCTGCAGACCTATAGGTATATATATATATATAATAACCGTTGTCGCGGTTTCTTTTTCCTCCTCCTTTGGTTTCCATTTCCCTAATGGCCATACATCTATACGCGATGAAAATACCGGCGCGTTTCGGGTACGCGAGCAAAAATAATAAAACGCAAAAAAATATACATTTTATCTGTGTACGCGACGCTGACGAGCCACAAAGACGCGTCATCCATTATATATTTTAAATTTATGTTATAGCAGTATGGATGGGTACATGCGACTCCGTGATTCGCGTATTATTACGTACGCCAAGCCTGTGGGGTTTTGCCTCCCCTATTATTATTATTATTATATGCTAAATGTAAATACGTATACATAAAGAATGGTCGACTGGACGAGGCTGCGGTGGAGGTAGGCACGTGTCGCACCCTCATCGTTTTTCATTTTTGTATAATTATAGTATAATGTGAAATGTGAGGTACCTATTGAGGAAACAATAAAATTCAAAATATTGTTTCTTAAACCGTGAGCTCGATGGTATGGTTTTTCACGGCATTAGGTATATATACAGGTAGGTACCTTTTTTAAAACTCATCAAGTTGAAAGCAGATTTGAAAGCGTCCCGATGCTATAGGTATATACTATTATATAATATTATAGCGTAGGTATACCAACTCAATCCACATACATTTTTTTTTTATTAAAATTGGTTTTTCTAATTAACTCGGCCCCTTTGTTCATCAAGTAACTCAGATATTCAAATTATGTTCAATCCAATATTTAAGTAATCATATATTTTCACTTACTTAAATTTGTTATGTTATTTAACTACCCATTTAAGGAGTTTTCTATATGACTATACAATTTTATTATTCTCAAATACAAAGTTTTTTTGTTTAAATTGTTACGATATAGATAATGTTTTTGAAAATGTTGATATACTTAAATCAAAATTAGGTATTAAATTAATGTATGTACTAACAATAATATTAATTCTAGTCTCTAGTCTCATCCAATTTTTATCTATAATAAAACGCTACTTGTCTTAATTTCGTATTAGATACCTACATCGAAAAAGGTTGGATCCGTTTTAAAAAATAAATAATTTTTACCACAAGGAGGCACCAGCTTTTTAAATGACGTAAAAATCTATGTAGGTACCTACGACCTACCTATTTGAAAATGTTGTGTTTGAGTAAGTACCTGTAGGCTGTACTTAAAATTTAAAAACTCAAATTAATGCATTGTTAGATGTAAAAATGGAGGTCATGAGAGGTTTACCTGTGTACATAAACACTTGTAATGACAATATATCAATCACAATCACAAAGTAAGTGCACCCTTATTAATCTCATATGTAACAATAGTCTATAAGACTATAAACTATATAATCATAAAGACATATCATACATGATTAAGTATTTAAGTAGGTATCATTAATAAGTAGGTACTTTTATAATAATTACAATACAACTAAAATATGTATTTGTATTAATAAAAACAATAAATAATTACGATACTCCAGCAGTTCAGCTCATAAAAATAGTATTACACAAACAAGAAATCGACCAGTCGGAGCTTGTCGTTCATTATACGTCGGAGATGATTTGTTTTTTGATTATTTCCTAACTCATGTCAGAATATTTTTACATTAGTATTATTATTATTTACCAAAAGTTCAATAAAATTACTAATAAGCATAATTTACTTGAACGAAATAGACAAAAATATTTCTGGGGGGGGGCTAATATTCACAAATTAAAGAGGGGTGCTAGTCCCCCCCCTAAGATACGCCTATGCTGTTCCCGCAGAGCATAGATGTTGATATGTATGCCTACTTAAACGTACTATGGTCTATGATGATCTGGATCTCTTTGTTTTAGATGGTGCAAATTTTATATTATTTCGCATGGCCCCGCCCCTCTTACTGTATGTCTCTATATGTGTGTTGTAAAATAAAAGAATTCTAGATCCTCCACCGACCACGGTCTATGTAGTTGATGATGTAAATAACGACGACGACGACGATTGTATATTTATACAATATATATATATATATATATGCATAACAATAATACGAAAATAATATGTAGATTTTTGGGTTAGGTTCGGTTTTTTTTTCCCCGGAGACGAGTAGTCTACGCCCTGGGGGAGTATTGTAGATGTACATATTATTACTACAACGCGTCGACGACACAAATGGACGATATAAAAAAAAAACTGCACCAGACGATGAAATCGCATATAAAAATAATATAGAAAGGCGTTCGTTAATTTTGTGTTTTTTCCTCACCACTGTACTCTCCTGCCGGTCGTTTCTCAACGGGTGATGCTGTTTCCGCAATAATAATGCAAATCCAAGCGGCGTCCATTCGACGACGGAATATAAAATCACGCCATTTTGAATAATTTATACAATAATAATGATAATAATAATTATACGAATGCGATACCTATACATGCTACATAGCGTATATTCATATTACCTACACAAAATGGTACCATTGTGCATCGTACCTATATAGTTTAATTACACATTGTTTGTGTTCTCTCTAAGGCGTTAGTATATTATATACACCGGGATTGCAGTTAAGGTTATATTATTTTTGTACATGCTTATGAAAAAAACTCTTATAGCGACCCACGTTCACGTGTGTGAAGTTAGGCCAAATTACGGCGCCAAAGGGTAAGTTGTAGAGCTCAATCTGTAAGTATTCGTAACTTGTAAATTTTGATTTTTAGTATTGTTGGTTTGAAGAAAACCCCAAATTTATCTGCCATAACTTTACATTAGCCCTACACCCCACCCCTTACAGCTTGTTTAAATTACACCAGACAACCAATTTACAATAACTTAAAAATTAAACTCTACAACATATATGATTATTCCTGTGTAATTAGGAAAAAGAGAATAAACACATTTTAGGCTTTTAAGAGTACCTACTGCAACTATAGTGTATGTATAATTACACGACATTAAAATGTCAAGTATTTTGTATTCCAAAGAGCGAAGGGACTTTTTAAACATTCTTAACATAATAATGGAGTTGATAACTATATATATTATATATAGGCAACGTGGGACTACGCCTCAAGGCGACTTAAAAACTTGTCAAGTTTTTCAACCGAATAAACAAACTAATGGTTTTATAAGAGTCAGTGTAATATTACATAGTAAACGAACATAAAATAAAAATTTTAAATAATTACCAAATTGACCAGAAAAACCTGATGGAATATATATGCAATATTCACAACACGTGATAGAAGTTTGTAACTTGCAGCAGGTAACCAGGTTAACATTTCCAAACCGTTTTAGATTCTAGCTGATGACATCTATATAAGTTACATATTGTGCATACGATATACTTACCTCGGTATTCCATCCACGTCGTCTAGGGCCTGGGAGACGTCTCTAATATGAGGCAGTACCTATAATGCGAAAGTTTGACGATCTGTTTTCAAGGAGTTTATTACAGGTAATAGGCCTTTATAAAGAATATATAGGTACGTGTGTTCAAGCCATGTGGTTGTGTGCAACATTGCGTGTTAAATGATCATTAATATTAATATGCCCGTACACAGTATCCTATAACATCCAAACTTCATATTCGAAGGATAATAACGGGTAGTGGACGCAAAAATAAAATCGGCATCAAGTTAAAGTACAACATGTAAGTATATTTGGTTTTTTTTATCTTTGGGGGTTAAATTTCACAACAATGATTGTAGAATGGCACACATGTTCACAACCGGTTAACAAAATTAATTTCAGTGACATGGATTAACGTACATGTTAAAAATATAAGCAACGGTCTCATGTACATAATAATAATAATAATAATAATAATCATAATAATAATAATAATAATAGTAATATAATACTATAATATTAACGTGTTCTATTCCAGAATCGACTAATAGTAAATATCATATATATTATCTAATAAATATTTGTCTACAATAAAATACATTAAAAAGCGAACAAACAAACAAACAAACAACGTTCAACAACTCAAATGCTATAGGTGGTGGTGGCCCAAAAAATGGATATTTAGAGATTTGAATGCGTGTTTTCACACACGAGGATATGTTAAATTACAGTAATCTAAAACGTGGGTAAGTAATGAAGATTTTTTGGTGTTCAAAACCTCGCTTAAAAATAAATTACAATAAAAAATTGAGATAACATTGGTCATATATACAAATAATAAATAAATAATAATACAAATAATATAAAAAGGCTTTATAAATATCACAAAAAATTGGGTGTAAAATCAAATTTGGCCTCGATTTTATTTTTATGGCTGATGCATTGTATCATTAAGTCGAATAGGAACGCCTGCTTTAAACAGTATGATCTTAGCACCTATCTAATAATATTAAGTTAGTGAACCTTGAAGTTAAGATTATTAATAAAATATGAATTAATTATAAATAAGACGTATTAGGCTAATATTTTCTAACGATCTACAAGAGAATACGAGATACGAATAAATATCATAAAATCTGATATTATAAACAACAAAACTTATACTTCAAAACATGTTTACGTTTAAAGAAAAATAATAAATATTTTAAAAACAAATTGTTCGCTAGATTGAATTTTCTTATAAAAAGAGTAATAATATATCAAGCATGTTATGTTGTTTTAATATTGAGCGTTTTGAAAGAAAAAATTGAGTTATTTATGCTATGCACTCATATATATATATATTATATATACGAACGCATTTGAAAATATGAAAATATTTGGTAACTGTTTGAACTCAATAATGTTTTGCTGAAATTTCTAAATATATATGTTTACGAGTAATATTAAGACTTTTCGTTCGACTCGCCTTTTTGGATACCATTCACTTTGATCTCGTTCACGGAATGTGATCTAGCGTGCTGATGGGAACTGCTCCGACCGTCCCGAGTACCGGTGATCATGTTCGGCAACATGTGGTTGGCCGAGTGTGATCTCGTGTGACCGTTATTGCCGTTCCGATTGCCCGTGTTGGTCTGACCTTTGAGTGCCATTTGATAGGCAACTTCAAACGCTTGACCCAGTGTCAAAATGATTTCGGTTGCTTGGTCCTGTAACAACGAACAGATAATAGTTTTTACACACGCCACCAGTAGTATAAATTTGATTATAAATTCGATAATCAAAATTCGCACCATGGAAGACACGCTGAACACGTGACTGTAATGTGAACTGGTGTGATGGTCTTTCGTAATATATGCAAAATGGTTCAAATCATCCGCGTCTTGACATGCGCAATCTATGTTGCGAATCTCATGCTCGCACACCAAACTACCCGACATGGGGTCCATAAACCGAACACCTCTGTATGATATTACTAGCGCCACTTCTGGCAACGTCCGTTGGGCACCACTGGCTACAGCGTGCTTAAGTTTTTGAATGGACTGTTTAGTCGACTCCGTGCCCCTGGGTTCTTTTACCTCGGTGGAACCCAAATACTAGAATATAAAATATACAAACCACGATGTTTTTCTCTATATCTAATGCGTTCATGCTTTTTAATTATATTTTTATTACAGGCTTACCGAGGCTATGTATTTGACGTTTCCGGTGACCAGCGCCGCTGGCTGGTGTCTCCACTGCGTAATCAGCGTAGAAGGAACGCCAAAAAGCAGTTCTGAAGGTCCTCTGATTATGAGGTCACTGTTGTTGCGATTAGAAAAGTTTTGTAATGGTGGTGGAAGAGGAGCATGCCTGGACTTTTTAGGGTTATGCCGAAGCGTAACAGTGCCAGACGCCACGTGAACCGAATGTTTTGAACCAACTTTTTCTTTTAGTGACTGGATGTTATTTTTCTGTAGCATACCACCATTCATTTATTAAAAATACATGTAACGAATACCAGTAATAGGTGCCTAACATTTGAAACTACTAAAATTACAACCATCAAGTTTATGGAAACTTACCAATTGCTTGAGATCGTTGCCAATATCGTTTAAACCATCACCGACAGAAACAGCTTGAAGTAACTGGGACTTACTGTTATCGACAGATGACAGTATTCTTCTTCTATGACCAGGCTTGTTGATTTCTAGCACCGCGGTGAGTTCCACTTCCCAAATTCTCGCTATTCGCTCAAGATCCGTATACAAATGTTTTCGGAACGTATCTATGTAGCAAGCCAGCCCAATGCTAGTCAACCATTCTTCCATCTGTTTGGCATCTTCTTCGTCGTCAACTTGATCTAGATCAGCAATGGATTTGCTTTTTGCTTTAGGCGTATCTTTAGTATAACGCTTTGACCAGAATTCTTTTACTAAGCATGGTAAATCGTTAGCAGATTCTAAAATCTTTGTTCGATCGGTTTCGTTTTCTATACCCATGTCTTTTAAATCTGATTCTACTAATACGCCACACTAAAAATATAATTTAATAAATAAATATTTTAAATATAGTTATTTCGATGGACATATTAAGTTGTAAGAATTATATAATATATATCATTTCAATTCGTTTTTAAAACTAAAATAAAAACTGATAAATTCGTATATTATAATATATTTTTACAAATAGAATGTCCATTAACTGAAATTTCAATAAATAAAAACAAAATATAATTTCAAATGTTAAAACTATGTTAAATTATATCAATTTTTAATTTTGATATAGGTACATCTGTAAAATACTTACAATAAAGTCCAAATTATCATAGCCAAATTCAATGAATGCATTAACAAAGTCTTGGAAACCCAATCCGAATAACCATGATTCAACCGTCAATGGACTATCATTACCATTTATTCGAGATTTGTCTTTACTATCAGATCTATTTAATCCTAAAACGATATTCCATGTGTAAAAATACGATTGAACACCGTATAAATGACAAGACAATTTACCTAGTCTGGCTTGGAATTCTTTTTCAAGCTCATTACACATAGATTCCTTAGCATTTCCGCCTCCAAGATTCGTTATTAAATCAGAAATTTTAGCCCATTCCTCTTGTTCATCGAACGGACTCAACATAGTGTTAGAACTTTTTGACTGATCTTCTGCGGAACCAGGCGATTGAGCTATGACCGGAGGGTCATATACTGTACGTAATTTACGCAAAGTCTTCGGCCTTTCTGCTCTATTACTATTGATTGATCCCCTCAGTAATCCTGTTTAAAATTATTTTATTTGAAAAAAAATATTTATTAATTTATTTTTCAGTTGACTAACCTGCAAAGGTAGCATCCCCTACGAATTCTTCTACGGCAGTTTCTTCAGAGGTAGACACACTTTTATCAGTCAATAATGCATGAGACTCAGGTACCCAAGTAATCACTAATAAATCTTCTTCGATTTCTGTTTCCATATCTTTTGATTTTCTTTTTAGATTACTATAAATCTAGAGAACCCATTCATGGATTGTTTTATTTTACATATTTAATCATTCTTATATTACTTATAAATGAAAATGTACGTTACCTGACTTAGTGGTCTTATTCTAGCGTGTATGCTACGTTCAGCTTGCAATGGTGATGGCGGTGGATGATCAGGGGTAGGAGGTTGACGATAATGTGTAGGACTTAGAGGCCAGTCGGCTGAAGGCGTGTCATTGCCGTCGAGTAAACTTTCTCTGGATGATGAAATGGTAGTAGTAATAAAACCATTATGGTCGGAGACGATAACCTGGTTAGTTGTAGCAGGTTCAAGTTCGACACGTTTAAACTGCAAGCCACCCCGTGATAATATTGCACCTGGATCTTTATCGTGTCTTTTGAGCTTTCGTCTGGGGTTGGTTGTGCGAATTGGGACATTTTGGTAAATTGAAGTTAGCGCTACAGGCTCTTCACCTGAAGTTGGCCGTAGTTTCATTTCAACATACTGATCAGCTGATTTCTCTCGACGTAATACTTCTCCTCGACGACTTTGATCAGACGAAGGTGAGCCAGAAGTTGCATGGTATAAATATTCATAAGGTCCGCTACTGCTGCTAGCGGACACTCGAGAAGGGGAATCGGCTGCAGGTGTAAGTCTTTTAGATGCCCCAGGCTGAAAAAGTATCCACTACTGATAACAAAAAGGACTTAGAATAAAATAAAAAATAACTTACAGAAATATTGGGTGCACTTGGATTCAATGGAGCCATTGGTAAATAGATTGAAGAAGATACGGGTCTATGACCACTAGAAGTTGTCGAAGAACTTATACTTACAGTGTCCAACTCAGGGCCCGAGAGAAAACTAGATTCTATTAAGGACCTAGAAAGTGGAGTAGGTTCATTTTTGTACCAACGGCCAGAATGGTAATTTCCATCGGAAATCCTACAATTATAATAATTATAGAAACTTTAAGATTTAAAACAAATTAATACTAGACTTACGCCGATGATTCCGATACACGGCGACTTTTGTGTTTTTCCCAGCGAGTGGGAGAAGGACTAGGTGATAACATGTTTTCATAGGGACTACTTAATAGAGGTACGGGAACCAAATCACCATTTTCACTCCTCCTTTCGGTTTCCATATCACTTTCATTATTATTATTAAACTGGTGGTCTAAAAAAGAAATTTAAAAAAAGAAAAAAATAATTAAAATTAAATGAAATTAAGAAATAAAGAGTACTAAGCTAAATTGTTTGCATACTTTGTAGCATGGCTGCTATTTCTACAGCAGGACCAGCTTTGGGTGGAAATTGTTTTAAAAGATCTTCTACTGTACGCCTATGGATATCCCGTATATGGGTATTAATACCATGGTCTAGTAATGTTCTAGCTACTTCGGTCTTGCCACATTGAGCAGCTTCGTGAAGTGCAGTGCCGCTACCGGTACGAACGTTGACGTCCATTCCAGCCGATAATAGCAGCTCTACTACAGTCCTGATTGAATTTCATATTTTATTACTTAGTAAATTTAAATAAATAATCATTTATCAAAAAACCTTACTTGTGGCCATTTCGGCTTGCTAAATGTAAGGGAGTGTGAGCAAACATTATACCTGCCGCGCGAGAATTGTACGATCTTATCAGTTCTGGTCGTTTGGTAATAATTAGTTCCACTGTCTCTAGTCTGTGCACAAAAATGAGTTATAAATTGAAATATTTCATAAACGGTATATATATAGATATTTCATACAAATAAATTCGAAATAATTAATATATAAAAAAATATTAGAAGCTAAATGCAATATATAGATATTCCTATTGCAGGTTTAATTATTTTTATTTCGTACGACATCGATAACAGAGATATTTATAACCAATTCCTACCTTCCATACTGTGCGCATAAGTCTAAAGGAGTTTCGTGTTTGTGATTTCTTATAGTAGGATCAGCACCATGTTCTAGGAGTAGTACTACCACACCCGAATGACCGTGTTCGGCAGCACAATGTAATGGAGTTTCACGATTTTTAGTCTTAACATATTATTTAAAGAACATACACTTAAGTCTCTTCAAAACACATTTTTTACAATAGGCGTGCGCACAGGGTCTGCAGGGTAGCCACTGCGACTCTGTTAAGGGTCCATTAGATCCCCCCTTAAAGAAATTTTTTTTAATAGTACTCAATATTAAAATATCATTTTCAAAAAATGGCCTCGGCAATAAATATTGAAGAATTTGTAACTGAAATCAAATCACTTATTCTGGTATAACGTCGACTTTAACATTAATCAGTAAATATGGTTTTATAAAAAATATCTAATAAAATTTGATAGTATAATGACAACAAGTTGTGATCTAATTACTTTTAGATTTGTCAATGGTATGGCCATACTTTTGTGTTGCATACCCTGCAAACGAAGTTTGCGGACGCCTAAGTTTTCAATATGTATAGCATTATAAAATTACCATATGATTGACATTGGGTATTGACGGCCCGTGGCAGAGCAACAAGCGGACTATGTCAACATTGCCCCTCCATGCAGCGTAGTGTAGTGGAGCAGCACCTTTATGATCAACCACGTTTGTTGACGCTTCGTTACATAAGAGAAGTTGAACGATTTCCCTGACGATAAAACACAGCTTATAAATCTTTTATAAATTTAAATGTATAGAACCTATATTGGTGCCTTACATCGCTTTTGTTTGCTTTTTTAGTATAATGTTATTTTAGCACTATTAATCTCTACGCTTCAAGAAGCAGTAAATTGTATTCGTATAGTATAAATAATATTAAGTATTATTTAGGTACAATTATTAGTTAATCAAATAAATCACATACTTGTACGCATTTAATGAAGCATGATGCAATGCAGTAAAGCCAGTTTGGTCTTGAGTATTTACTCCAGCACCTCTTCTCAAACTACACAAATACAAATTAAAAAAAAATAATTGTAAATATTTTAAATAATTTAACTTATAATACGATTATATTGCAATCGGGATTTTTTATAATGAAAATAAAATTAATACAAATATGTATTAATACATATTATATAAATTGTTTATTGAAAATAGTGATCAGATATATAATATTATATCAATAATTGAAACACATTCCAATGGAATTACAGAAATTAAGTTGTTACAACAATTCTATTTAAATAAAGAATTGAATCTAATAGTTCGATATACCTAATATAATATTTTAATTTTCTAACAAAGCTGCAGTCACATTATAATTTAATTTAGTTGTTATTTAAATTGATGGACACTAATTTATGCATTATGATTCAATTTATAAATATGTCAAAACATTGGTTCGACGATAAGGAAATTTAACCATCAACGTGTAGCACTTATACCTATATATTTCAACAGTAAAAAATGTAAAAAAGAAATATTATTATTCATTAAACAGTAAAATATAAAGCTTGGTTATTTATTTAGTTTAAAACTATGCATAGCCGCATAGGTGCTGTATGAATTATAATAGTTTTAAGTGCAGATAAAAGTAATAAATGCCCCTAAATTTAAATTTATAACTTATAATCAAGAATTACCTAAATAATTTATGACATGAGACACTTATAAACAGGAGTTCAATTTCAATATTTAAAAAATAATTTTAATGCCTATACTGTTTTAATCTTAAGGTTAAGCGATTAAATGAGTATATCAGTATGAATATATTTATATATATATAGAAACAGTTCAAATACCTAAAAAGTTCTTATCATCTTTTGAAAAAATGTGATTGTGGAAATTGGGCCTTTGTGTCTAAATTTCACAATATAGGTACTAAACATTGCCCTCGTTTAAATACATAAATTTTCAAATTTCGAAAAGCCTAAAATCAATTATTATTTATTAGCGAATTATACAGAATAGCGAATACTATAATTAACTGTATTTATCTACCTATATTATATATTATTTTAAAAACATAGGTACAAATGTACAAACTTTTAATGTTATATATTTTACCTACTAAATTTTTTGATATAAATTTGTAATTTCCATCTTTTGATAAAAGTCTAATCTTCAAGCCATATTAAAAGGTATTAAATAAAATTCAATTTAGTTAAGTAGGTACATTTAACGCAATTACATTTAACAAATCAAAACATACTTAATATATTTAACAGATTTTTTATTTCGAACTATATTATATAGGTACCGCTAAAATTTAGTAATTAACTGTTGTAAATAAAGAACATTTTTTATCAAAAAAACAAAATATTATAAAATAGTACAATACATATACATCGCTGCAAGCCTCCATCTCATTATTGTACATGGTACCTATTTAACCTAATAGACTTACATGTTTAATTTTAATAGAAACTCTATGAATGGACTAGGTTGGGCCGTAGGGCCGCTTGACTTGATCCCCATGTGTAATGACGCGTAATGTGCAATCGTAATATTATTATATTATGAACACTATCAGTTATTAGTTATTAGTTATTACTCATTGTTTATTTGTTTTAAATAGTACAGCGGCGGCATTAGGTTGAAAGTGCGTTGTTAACAGAGTTATTAATTTGTGTTTCATAATGTGTTCGAAATCTCTTTCATTGTGTAAGAGAGCGCGTGAAGCAAAGTCGCGGCTATAACATTTTACGAGATCGATAATAATTAATTAGTAATTAGCTAACAGAATTTAACTATATTGGGTATATTCTACTAAGGATACGTCGCATACAACATGTTCATCGGTAAACCGTTTGAAACTGCTATTGAGTCAATTTTACAAAAAGTACTTAAATAGGATGTACCTATAGATATAAACCTGAACATAATATATTATAATTAAATGTGTTGCTATGGTACAACTTATAATGATTATAAATCACAAATGCAGTTTATTAAATTAAATAAGACAACGTAATGCAACCGAAACGTTCCATAAACATTAGTTAGTTCCATTAGACGTTCGTCAGGGAGTATATATTATACAGTATAAGTATATAATACGTCGCTATACAGGACGCTCATTAAAAATAAATAAATTATACTACCAACATCAAAGGTCATTTATTTTTTTCTTTCTTCGAATTTGATTCATCTGGTTATATCAGATTTTTCTTTAGAACAATATATCAGCATTATACAACTTTACAGTAGGTAGTACAATTTTCCAAATACTTTCACATTCAAGTAGTATTAATTATTCTTTTAATTGCATTCGTTAAATGAGATTTCTTAAGAGCTTTATATTTGAGTATGTATACCATTATGGTATGGTTCAAGTAGATCTTTTTTATATAACGTAATAATTACACTAAACTAATTTTAATTTTCACCTTTGCTTTTCATTTCGTAAGATTAGATTAGATTAGGTATTTTACAAATTTGTAATACATTTTAATGTTCTTCCAATTAAATTTAATACCCGATTTAATATTTATGCCAGTCTTTTTATTACATATTTGAATATTTCCTAGTTTCTATGATTTTGAAATAAATTAAAAATATAAATTATAAATTATAAATTTTGCGGCTATGTTTTTAACGGAGAAACGATGGTACGATGAGCGATGATATCTACATGATATTGCTATTATGTACCTACCTATATAATAATAAAATAATCTTAAAGTAAAGAGGATAGGCAAATCAAACTATTATTGTTGTCCATACAATCTAAAAATAGCCGATATACCAAAAAGTATAATTTGACAAGTGAATATTATTTTAGCACGTCACCTATAATATGTGATTATATAGTTCAAATCTTTTTTTGCAGGGTTATAATGGCAATTAATGATCATGGACACTTTAAAAATATCAAATTAAGTCGTATAGAGTTTGTTTATATGATAATTAATATAAAAAATAAAACGCTGCCCTGGTATGGATGTCGAGTGTAGCACGTCATCGAGCACGTCATTGTAATGGATGTGTTAAATTTAATAGAATTATACTATATAAACCATTGTGTACAATGAAAAGCAATTCTTAGCGAAGACAGTCTAATGTTTTGGTTAATAAATAATTATTTTAATCTCATATAATAATATTAAAATGTTCACAAAATATATTCGAATAGGTATATTTTAGATTTTGAGTGGATCGATTTAATAATATATGTTTTTTTTTTGTTTGTTTGTCTAAATACACTTTTTCTAGTAGCAAATTGGATGTAGTTTGTACTTTGGAGGGTAAAATGTAGAAATTTCTCAGTATTTTTTTTTTGAAAATAATTGGAAAAAAAATACGATCATTTGTAGAATTTATAATATTATTATAAAAAATATTGATTGGTAATCATATCAAAAAGTTAGACTGTCTCCGCTCAGAAACGTTCTTCGTCGTATAAACGTCATTGACTTCAACTTTAACACATCCATTACAATTTCTTACTCAACGACGAAGTACCTACACTCGGCGCCTACCGTAACCCAGAGCGTTTTTTTTCACGATCAATTTATAAGTTACCAAGAAATTTCAGCTTTTGACACACTAAAATATAAATTAGATCCACTAATACATTTGCTATAGGAAATCACCCTGAAAATTGATGATCAAAGTATGTTTTCTACTAGAAAAGGGGTACCCCAAAAAAACACATACGTATCATTGTAAAATCAACACATTTATTGCTCAGAAAACAAAATAAACAAGCAGAGTTTCAATTAATTTTCATAGTAGCAATTATTTCTATTTTTTTTACAATGTAAAAAACTAAAAAAAAAAAAAATATATACTGTAGGTTTACAAAAAATAAGTCGCTCCATTAAGTCGACCTAGTTCTTAGTAATTTCATTAAAATGTTTAATTTTAAATTAAAGGAATATGAAGTGCCAAGATTGTGTGTCCTATACGTGGTTCAAATATTCGTACGAACGAAGAATGTGAACAAACTACAACTTACAAGGCACACATAATATGACGGGAGAACCTGTGTCTTACTTCGTTTTTTTATATTTTAAGAATTTGTGATTTTGTTTTTCGTGAACGGTAGAATTCAGTATACCGGTACATACAGTAATACTAAATACTAGTAATGAGTAACAACCATAAATCATTTTAAGTACATCGTTTATCAGTCGGAGACGCTGAACTTCTAAATTGAGGTCAAATATCAATCTGTTGATTCGTCCATAGTTAATATCTGAAGTATGTAATGATATTATAAACATAAACATTAACCACGAGCATAAACATGATATCGTTCAGTAGAATATTTTCCTTTTAATGTTGACGACGAGTTCGTTCAACATCGATCGTAAAATAACTGTATTTTACGGTTAATTTATAGTTTTAAAAATTAAATGCTTTTAAACTTGTTGATCCTGATCTTTGAAGTGTATTTATGCAAGAGAGTAGTTTAAGATCCATAAAATGTACTGGATCAATAAAACTGATAATAGCATCAACGTTTTTTTTTAAGTTTATTAAAATACTTGAAGCGTTTCATTTGAATAGCTCGATTATCGATTTGTACGTTTATTACTACGATGAATTATTTTAAACATCTGTGAATCATATTGTAATAATAACTAATCATTTAACAACGTCATTTTAACTTAAATGACAACAATATGATGCATTTTATACAATAGTGGTTTGATTCATTGTGTAGCCAACGAGTGTGAAACAAGGGTTCTATCGGTGAAACATTAGAGTCAGGATAAAGGGGAGGAGGATGCGGTGTCGAAAAGGGTGACGTGATGGGGAACGTTGAGGGTTAAAACGTATATATAGGGCAGGTATATAATAGGTATTATATCTATTTTGAGATACCATTGATAACCGTACTTCGAGTATTTTCATTTCTGGAACGGTACGATACCTAACAAAATCCTTATCAAATTGTCGAAGGCATAGACCGGAGGGGAAGAAGAAATTATTAAAGACCCCGTGGCCGCGTATCACGAGTTTATTTTCCCCTAGTTCCAGCTTATCGGGGCATAATTTGACGTACGTGCCCCGCCCCCTCGCCTTACAGAATTTAAAATTTTTTTATTCATTAATATTCAGTAGGTACCTACTCAGTTCCTGTGAACTCAAGAACAGGTTTTTTAAATTCCATTGAGTAACAGTCGTTCTAATCGAGAAAGTCTTAAAAAACCATCATACAAAAAAATAAAAACAAATGTATGTATAGAAACGAATATATCGCAGTATCCGTAGATGAGACTTACCTCCACCTACGAATTATTGTTAATATCATTATCACGAAGCATTGCAAAGTATTTACCTATACCAGCTGGCGGCTATAGGCACCTATCGCGATCAAATATATATAACATATATATATATTTCACACCGACAGACATCGTACTATGGAGTTAACGAGTTTTCGTAACTATATTCAATATTCACTGAACTTAAAAACGTCTTATTATTCAATTTTCTAGGAGGTGAATAGTATCAGTTATCATCTCACCTAGCCAGCGGTCCCGTTCTCTTGGCCTTCTGCACCAGTATCTTCTCCACGGCGCTCAGATTGCCGGTCTTGGCTGCAATCACCAGGTCGTGATCCTTGCCCATCCTCGCCGCCGAAAGTCCCTGCCCTAAGGTGCCTCTCCTGTCGTGTCGTGTCCGTCACACCGTTTACGCGTTTGCGACGATCGCCGACCGAATGTCGGGCACAGTCGTACGCTCTGTCCGCACCATGTCCGCGATATCGTCACCGGTCATCGTTCCGTTTTTCGCGTTTCGTTACGATATTATCACACACGAACAAGCGCGCGCGCACACACACACCGTAAGCGGACCATAACACAAACACGGGCGCCGCCGTCGATCGATGGCAAGGAGCCGCACCGTATGACACCAGGTGGGGTGGGCGCGCGCGGTGTGTCACTCCCAGTCGGTCAGCTGCTACTACTGCTCGAGCCGCCGCGGAATCGATAACAGAAGTTTATTATACGAACTCGACGACTTGATTAAGTACTAACAGGACTTTGGTCATTGGTAATTGGTAGACAATAGAACAGTTATAGGCGGACGCGATAAAACGTGCCGAAAATATTATACAGTCGGCCGTCGGCCAACGTTTTGTCATTAATTCTGGTGGGAGCGCAGTGGCGGCAATCGCCGTATCAATATTATTGTTGTACGATACCACGATTTGCGTCCTGCTTGATAATAATATTTTCGTATGGGCACTACAACACCGCCACCGCGACACTACACCGGGCGTGTACTGCTCCCCACCGTCAATATTACAGTGCAGGCTTACAGTGCACGGTTTGCACGGACGACAACTGCAGTGTTGCCGACTATGCGATATTAACGTAACCGTGGTCACGTCGTCCGGACCGTGACGAGTGGTGACTGCAGCAGACGGGAAGTGACAAACATTGTATGCGACGGACGGACTACCACGTACGGACTGTACGAGTGTGTAGTGACTTGCATGTTAAGCTCATTTCACCGGATGACGCATTAAATTTTATAATTTTTTTTTTTTTTTGATCGAGGCTTCGACGACTGATGTCATTAGCCTGTGGAACTGTGGGGGGGTACTGCTGCAGGTTTTATGTGTTTGTTTTGCAGAATTTTTAAGTGGACACCCTTAAATATATCTTCCATGCCCGGGTGGGGGGTGGCAGCCTCTCTCTCTGGACACCGTGACTGCCCAGAGAAAAATGCCACCCATGGCCGAGTTTGAACCGGCGACGGTGCGATTCGCAACCGACGCCTTAGTCCGCTCGGCCACTCCGTCACCCATTTTATAAATTATAAATGAATAAATGTCACTAGATCCGAATCGTTCGGACTTTCGACCATCGGTCGATGACAACACAATTTATTTATTTATAAATTAAAACAATTTATTCACTTAAACAGTGAACAAGACTGGAAGATGAGTATGAGAGGAGTGTGTTTACATACTGTCATATCAGTATTAAATTGTACATATTTTGTGCTTTTATACATAGGGTAACACAAAAGCGGCGATAAGTAATATTGCCACCGATTTAAGGCACATACAGTGCCTGTGAATAATAGGCAATTTTCTGTCTTCCCAGTTGTAGGGAAATAAGATAGTATCAAATTTGTTAGTATGGGATTTGCAGAAGTTAATCGGACAAAGTAATTGTGAAATATTTAAATCGAAATATTGCATTGGAATATTTGTATCCGACATATAATCAGTGGCGCATTTAGGGGGGGCGAAGGGGGCAAATGCCCCCGGCGGCAAATTTTTAAGAGTTTTAGGGGCGGCAGTTTTATCGAGTGTATTTTTATTTTTTTTTTGTATCACAAAATATAATATAACATTGTTTAACGTGTATAAATTGTATAAGGTATAATATTTTATGATAATGATTTTGTGATAACGGATTATCGTATCAAATCATTTTGAGTTAAATGTGCAGATATTGTGATATGAATGTATGATTGTCGACTGATAACGTATAAAACGAATTATTATTTATTACTAAACGAATTCAAGCCGTTTAGAATTCAAAATTGAAGGTGTAATTTTTATATAATACGTCATTATGTCATATGTGGTGTAGCCCTTGTAAAGTGTAAACACATATTATACTCAATTTTTGTGGTTTTATTACGGAAATTACTACTGTGGAGGTAAGAGAAAAGGCTGCAGTTCTACAGCAAATATATAAGGATGATCTTGGGAAAACTTTTCCAAATGAATGTGTCCACTTCAGAGCACACATACTAAGTTTAAAAAAAAATGAAGAAAATAGTCCCAGGGACCGCTCAGGATTCGTTGACTTTTATAAAATTGAATAACCTAATTGAACTTTATCCATATGTAGACATAGCTCTTAGGATGCTATTATGTACTCCATCTAGCAATTGTTCTGCAGAGAGATCATTTTCTGCTCTTAAAAGAGTCAAAAATTATCTACGGTCTACAATTGGAATGGAACGGTTAAACTCTTAAGCCATGCTCAATATAGAATCCAAGTTGACAAATTAACTCCAATATGATGACATTATTGATGAATTTAAAAACCAACAGGCGAGAAAAAAATTGTAATTAAACTGTTCAATAAAATAAATAAAAATTGACTTATGTCATTAAGTATTTGGTATGATTTTTTCATTGAATAAACCTTTTGAAATTGTATACTGTTAAACCCTATGGTAGGTCTGAGGTTGTAATGAGTAGCGACCAGAAGGGGGGGGGGGCGGCAATAAAATAATTTCGCCCCGAGGCGCATATATTCTAAATGCGCCACTGCATATAATATAATAGGTATTATTGTTGCGCCGTTACCGATCCTACGAATCGTGCGGTTGTCGGCAACGACTCGCGTCAAGTGTTGAAGGCTGGAGCGAGGACGGGTTACTCAATATGTGCGTACAACTCAAATGTGAGGTCGGAAACACCTTTAATGTGTGTAACAAAATATGACAAATAAATAACGGGCGCCCAAAATAATATAGTATAAATTAACATAACAACTAAATACCATAGCTGGTGAACAATAATTATATAAAGAGCCCACTGACACGTGGGACTAAAAAACAATGAATAAACCTGACGACGGCTACTGCGTGGCTCGGCGACTGCGTCGATCCTTGGTGATGACTGCTGACCAAAGTAGGTACCTCGCCGGAACGGCGACGGCGGACAAATCTTCAGCTCGTCGCTCGACGATGATAGCTCGTGGTTCCACGCGACTAGCGCGAACGCGAACTCGAATAATATATTTACGTCTTTCCGTGGCAAAACACTCGCGATCACGCGGAGGGTAGAGTAAAACACGCGCACGGCGTAAATACACGAAAAAACGGACTCGAAGTGAGCTTAGCGTCACACGTCGATCACGACGGACAAAACACGCGTGTTCACACGCGACTTTTACTATGTCACTCGATGTAGCAACAAGTGCGTACCGCGACGACTATTAAAACGCGAGAAAAACGTACTTCGAAAGTAGGTACTAGGTACCGATCGTGGCCGCTGATCACAGCACGGGCTCACACGAGGTTTTCGAGACACACACGGGAACGACAGCGCGGACGTTGCGCTTCGTTCAGCCGTTGGAAAAAGACAGTTTTTATAAATGTTCACGACGGCCGATGGCCAGCTCGACGGCCGTCGACGGCGGCGCGGGACTACGGAGGGGGAAAGCGTCGCTCGGAGCTTCGACGTCTAATTAGGCCGCGTGTACATTGGCGAGCGGCGAGCGGCGAGCGTCGAGCGGCGCGTTGGGAAAAAAATTTAAACTCATATAATTTAAATCGGAGTGTGTACATTGGTTACTAGCGGCGAGCGGCAGCGGCGAGCGGTAGCGGCGCGGCGTGTCTCAAATCAAACAAGTTTGAATTTCACCGCTCGCCGCTCATGAAATATTTATTTTAATGATGATATTTTATTTATTAATATAATATGATTCAATGTAAAAATAGTCTTGATGATTAAAATTCTGGTCTTAATACTCGATGAACGTCAAAACAATCATAATTTGTTTATTTTGCTATTTAAAGAATTGTACCAAGTTTCCAAAATAATAGATAAATATGTTCAGAAGATTTCTGTTGTTGAGTTGTACGCAGTATGGGTAAACCATTGTAGTTGTAGTTCAAACTGCTTATAGTGAACACATATTTTGTAAATTACTCTGTATTCATTTCATACTTCATAATGTCAAAATCAAATATTAATAATGCTATGCGAGAAATTTTAATTTCGGAAGTACAAACCAGACCATCTTTATGGGATGATACTCACCCTGAGTACAAAAATGTCGAAAAAAACAAAAAATTGTGGTGTGAAATTGGAAAATTAGTTGGAATACCCGGTATGTATATTTTGAAAATATAGGTATTCAGTTTTAGTATGTTAATGTAAAATATTTATAAATCATCACTAGACTAATTAACTTTTTACAACAATAGACTTGTATATAATTTATAAAAAAAATATTAAATCATATACATATGATATGGCAATGCATAGCATGGTGTTGGGGGAGGGGATCCCTTTCGTCTAGGCCTACAATAAGATGAATATTTACCTATTCAAAATATTAAATAACCTTCTATTATAGTTATATCGAAAGGTGTAAGGTGTAATAATTTGTTTTGTCTGTTAAACCCCCTGTTAAAATTATATGGATCCGTGCCTCAGAACTAGTTGTACTACAACTGTTGTGGTAATATAATTTACTAAAATAAAATACTTGAGGTTAAAAATATAGGAAACGGCTGAATTATTATTAGATATTGTTTTAATATTTTACGTAGCTACCAATTTTTCGATGACTGTTCACACATTTTTACTCGAAGTATTTTATTGTAATTTGTTTTAGTATAGGTATTATTATATAAATAATATTCTATAATACCTACTGTGTTATTTACAATATTATAATAATAAAAATTGACAAATAATCATTATCTATGTTATTTATTGACTAAATTATATCGGTATAATTTAAGTTCTTATTTAATTTTAAGATTTAAAAAAAAAAACTGTTTTGCAAATTTTTGAACTACCTTATTATGGGTTATTTAAAAAATAATCTACATATACATTTCTTATTTCTTTCGCTCTTTGAAGTGAATTTGCACCTCGTGCTGGATGATCCATACCTTCATTTTCCCAATTGTTTCGTTGGTCTATCATAACATTGCAGTAATCGACATCACTATTGCCGTCTTTCTCTCTGATAATGTTATGCAATAAACACATGCATTTAATAATTACTACTGCTTTTTTTGGGCTCACTTCTATGTCCTTCCCTAGTAATCTCCATTTTGCGCGTAGAATTCCAAAAGTACATTCAATGCACTTGCGTGCTCTTGATAATCTTTCGTTGAAATATTCCCGTGCTGGATTTAGTACTCGAGATGGAAATGGGCGCATTAAGTACGGCTTTAATGGATAAGCTTCGTCTCCGATCAAAACATAGGGTACTTTAATATTTGTACCAGGTAAATGTTTTTCTGGTGGTACATTCAAATTATTATTGCTTATTAAATTACAAAGTTTAGAAGATGCAAAAGTTCCACCATCGCTCTGCTTACCTCTGGCACCAACATCAATTATTATAAATTTTTTATCCGCATCAGCAACTCCTTGTAAAACTAGTGAAAAATATTTTAAGTAGTTGAAGTGACTTGATCCTGAATTTTTGGGACATTTAATCTGACAATGTTTGCCATCTATAGAGCCAATGCAATTTGGAAAGCCCCATTTGTCATTGTAATCTACACTAACTTTTTCCCAATGTTCTTTTGTAGGAACTGGCATAAATTCATTTACGAGTTCTTCCCAAATAACTAGACAAGTCTCGTGAACAATTTTAGCAACAGTGCATGCACCCATTCGCATTGAAAAAGCAAGGTTCCGAAAAGAAAGACCAGTTGATAAATATCTATGGAAAAAAACATTTATTAATTACTAAAAAATCATTTTATACAATAGGTTACAACTTTAGAAGTGGGTCCCTGTAATGGATGGTGTTAAATTTTAATTCAATGACATAAAATCTCGTTGAATACGAAAAACGATTCTGAACGGAGACGGTTTGTCAGTCTAGGATATTTTATTGTTTATAATATATTAATTAATAATTATATTGCTATTATTTCAGGAAAAAAAATGTACCTACCTGTAAATTAATTTAAATAATTATAATATTTAATATTTATTAATTTCAAATTTTCAAATTAATTAAATTAGATTCATTATGTACACATTCATTTTTAAATTACAACAATATAATTAAATTTTTTTCTTAATTATTTAACATGTTATTTCATCCAAATTTGAACTTAAAATAACTATAAAAAAAACTGTGTTTGTATAGTTTTTAGATTTTTTTTTGCCGTAGAGTTAACTACTTACGTGGAACCTTGTTTTAAATTTGCAATACTTAGCTATGAAAGTTTATAAATCTTATTTTTAATTTTGAACGACTAAAGAATTTATAAATTTTCAATTAATTTATTGTCAAAATTCGAAATTTAAGCAGTTAAAAAAAAAGATGTTACTATGTATTATTAATATATTTCAACTAGCATTGTATCAATATATTAGGAGCCTTGTATTAAATTTTCAAAATTTTTGATTCTGCAATGAATAAAATTTCAAATGTCTATAAATAACTTAAAAATAGTTGAAATATTTTGAAAAATTTATCAAGTATAGGAATTGATAAAATAAACATATGGTGAAAATTTAAAGTTTCCACAAATATTCGTTTTTGAATAACAACAAATTAAGAACATCGGTACAAGACAAATTGAGTGGATATTCATATCCAAAGTATAATTCAAATGTTCATAAAAATTTAATTTGACTTTCCAATAAACATTTTTTATTTGATATAAGTAGACAAACTCTCGAAGAATTTTATATTGAATTTTCAAATCTTAGATTCAAAAAGATAACATTTTTATGATTTTGTAACTCAAAATAAATTGAAATTTCCGTGATTTTTACGTATTTTGTCAAAATTTAAACTTTCAATGCTTATTAAAAAAAATTTGTGACCATGTGTATTTTTAATATTTTTTTCATTACCATTGGGACAATATATTAGAAGCCTTATATTAAATTTTGAAGCTTTTCAATTTAATTCAAGATTTTTCACGAGATTCTTCACTTTTATCAAATAAAAAAATTTCTACCGAAAAGTTTAATTAAATTTTTATGAGCATTTTAATTACAACATGGATATTTATTATTTACTAAATTTCTCGTGTACCGATAGGAATTCTTATTTTAATGTTATTCAAAAACGAAAAACTGTAGAGACTTGAAATTTCCACCATATGCTTATTTTATTAATTCCTATACTTGATAAAATTTTTTAAGTTATTTATAGAGATTTGAAAATTTCCGTTTTTTTAGTTTTTTATTCTATAAATGTCAATAAAATTTGGCACGTTTTTTTTTTTTTATAACCATTTGAAGTTCAAATTTTGAAAAAATTTATTTAATTGAAAATTTACAAATTCTTCAGTTGTTAAAAATGTATAAAACGTTAAAATTTTATAGCTATTGCTTGAAAATTTAAAACAAGGTTCCACGTAAATAGAAAATTCTGCTGCAAAAAAAAGAAACTAAAATCTATTCAAACACAGTTTTTTTTATAATTATTTTAAGTTCAGATTTGCTAATATTAATTAATAGTTAATGTCGTTAGTGACTTATATTAATACTTCATAATAAATTATCAATGTAAGATCAATAATATACCTACTCATCGTTCCACTCAGAACCTTTAATAATAATAAATTTAATTCGACTAAACTAAGTTCCATCATAAAACAATATTTGACATACAAAATAAGTGAAAAACATGGTTTTTAAATTATTTTGTATCCAAATTTTAGGGAGCGATGCAAAAATAAAATGGAAAAACACAAAGGATACGTTTAGAAAAGAACTACAAAAAGAACCAATTAGACGTTCAGGTGATAGCGGGATTGAATATAAATCTAAATGGCCATTTTTTCAAATGATGATGTTTGTAAAGGATTCTTTACTTCCTAGTTCTATGTCCGGAAATTTAAATGTTGGAGAACCAGATTCATTTGCATTACATGAAGCTACTGATGAAGCCAACGAAAGTGACCTTGACGTAACGGGTACATCATTTACTGATGTGACATCTCCGTCTACATCTACGTCACATTTAACCGATATTAATCCCAAGGTTACTTCAAAAATGAAAAGAAAGAAAAAAAATAGTGAAGCAGATGATACTCATAGACTTCTAGAACTAGAAGAAAAAAAAATTGCCATTCTGCAACAAGCACAAGAGACAGAAAATAAAAAAAATGAGGACCCAGACGCTCAATTTCTTCTCAGTATCCTACCATACATAAAAGAATTTGATCCTTTAGAAAAACTCGAAATCAGAAGTCAAATTCAAAATGTAGTTCTAAACGCTTATAGAAAAAAAAAAATACATCGGGTAACCGCTCACAGCTTGAGTCTATTCAAGACATTCAGACCGACCTTCTGAACCAGCCAAGCGTAAAAAAAATGTACCGTCCATATCAGGAAAGTAGTCTTAATTCTACTCTAGGACAATCCCAGTGGAGTATGTCTGATAACGTTGATAATATGCCAAGAATTGCAGGTATGCAACAGGCTAGTGATGTTCTATTGGGAAATAATCAATTCAACCAAGATTTTTTTAATCTTAATCAGCAGACGTTTTAAACATAAGTTTAAAAAAGTCAGTAACAAAATAAAAATATATTTACTTATATAAAAGTGAATATATTATAAGATAACATTATGATTTAAATTAATTAGCTATTTGAAATTTGCAGGATGCCAAATTGTTATATTTAATTTTATGATTTAATTTATGTTTAACTAACAGTAATAATTTTATTTTTATTGATTTTTTTACCATTTTATATAATTAAATTTATTTTAAAAATAGCTGTTCTTATAATTTTTTCTATTGAATATTGATTTATAAACTTAAATTGTGACTTACCTTATAGTTACATACAACCTTTCAGCAGGAGATATTGGTTTTTTGAAATTTGAAATCTTCTTTCTAATACGATGATTGATTTTACTCAATATAAAATCGTAAGTATTAACTGACATTCGTAAATAATCAAAAAATTTATCCGGTGATTTTCGTAAATCAGTATATAAATGGTGATATTCACCATATATTAATCTGCGGCGATTAATAGGATGAATACCAACTCTTTTTTTTTTAAAAAATGAATTCCTTAAAATTGGATTATCCAACAAAATTGATAGACGATTAATCGACATGATTATAACTTGGAGTATAAAATCGAAATGACAAAAAATAAGATAAGTATTTATATTTTATACAAAAACGCTCGCCGCTCATCGCCCAATATACACACTTCGCCGCTCACCACTGGTCATCGCTGACGCGCCGCTCGACGCTTGCCGCTCGCCGCTCGCCAATGTACACGAGGCCTAACGCGACTTGGAGCGTCCGTGCCTTTGCCTTTGTTTTGGCGGCAAACCCGTTCCGCGTTCGAACATCCTCCCCGCCGTGAGAGCCATCTCACGTAAATTCTTGAGAACCGGAACTGGAAGCCGATGATGTCCTCTGAAGCCTTGCCGATCAGTAGCCATCACGTTAAGACCCATAGGCCGAGTCAGTGGTTCACATTTTTTTTTTTTTTTTTAATACTAAGCCAGCTATAAATAATATTCTAACTCCATGTTGAGGTAGAATTAAGATACAACAAAAAAACTCAATGAACATATGGTTCGTAATTATAGAACATAATAATTAATAAATAACACATAAAACTAATAAATGTAGTACAAAATAATAATTCAAGGAACATAGGATGCACCCCCGACCACCGCCATCCCACAACACGCATACGGAGTCATAAATGGCGAGCTAGTGGTGCGGTGTGTCGAAAGCCCCAGGCGCGACAGGGAATCCCGGTGGGGGCACAGTGCTTAAATGTGCTACGATAAAACATTGGTCGGTAACTTTACCAACTTGACTACAGGGCGCGTCATTACACCAGCGCGCGTGAGAACTCGAGCTACACGGACGTGACCGTCGGAACCTGGCAACAACTCGGTCACACGGCCGAGGCGCCACAACAACGGTGGACTCTGGCTGTCGATCACGACGACCATATCGTTGAGATTAAGGTTGGGAACCCCCTCGGTCCACTTTGGTCTGCTTTGCAAAGTAGTTAGGTACTCGGATGACCAACGACGCCAAAACGCGCGGTGACATTGATCCATTAATTTCCATCGGTCAGAAAGGTTACGGACGGGCTCAGGGCCCGATCTTGGCGGGACCGCGAGTAACGGTTGCCCAATTAAAAAATGCCCGGGAGTCAAACACTCCAAATCATGTGGATCGGTCGAGGCGGGCGTCAGCGGGCGCGAATTTAACACAGCTTCTATGCGGGTTAACACAGTGGTGAACTCCTCGTACGTAAACACATGGGTTCCTATCACCCGGACTAACAACCTCTTAGTAGACCGAACGGCCGCCTCCCACAGACCCCCAAAGTGAGGTGCGCTCGGGGGGTTAAAATGCCACGTACACATCGCGCGAAAATTTGCAACGGCGGTCTGGCCCTCAGGACTTTGTATTAATGCGCGCAACTGCTTATCAGCGCCGACAAAATTAGTGCCGCAGTCGGAATACACGTCGGCGGGTAACCCGCGGCGCGCGACGAATCGGTCGAACGCGGCCAAAAACGCGTCAGTGGACAACTCCGTCACCACTTCAAGGTGGACGGCTTTAGTCGTAAAACACACGAAAACGGCAATGTAAATTTTAAACGTACGCGATTTGCGCAACCGCAGCTCTTTTAGTTGTAAAGGGCCAGCATAATCGACTCCTACCTGCTCGAACGGTCGACGCGGCTGTACGCGCGAACCCGGTAAATCGGCCATGAATGGATGCGGCGGTTTCGCATCGAGTCTAACACACACCGTACAATTTACTAAAATATTATGCAGCACGGAACGGAGCGACATCACCCAATACTGACGTGCAATTAGCGCAGTCAAAACCCGTGGACCTGCGTGACCCGATAATAAATGCCATCGGCGGCACAGTAACATCGCGTAATGCGATCGTTTTGATAATAGAACCGGGTGTTTACAATCATAATTCAATAACGAGTGCCGTAAACGGCCGCCTACGCGAACTAGACCTGCAGTGTCAATAAACGGAGCTAATCGCGCTAGCGGTTTCGAGGAAATGCGGGCCCCCGCGGCCAACTCCTGCCGCAGCATGGCAAAGTGTACGCGTTGCGACTCCGCCGCCAACACACGCGCAGCACTATCTAACTCGTTTTTTCGTAGAAAGGTGGCGCCGGTCACATCCGAACCCGGCGTTACTAACGACCTTGTCACCCCACTCCGCCGGAACGCGACGTTTCGATGACAAGCCGCTACAAAACGTCGCACATACGCGACTACACGCAACATACGATCAAAACTAGAAAAACGAACAAACCACTCCCTCTCTTCGTTGTCAACGCGCGCGGCACACGACACTACGCGCAATTCAGGCAGGTCACACAGAGGTAGCGACGGGCGGGGATCGTCCCATTCCGATGGCTCGCCGTACGCTATCTGTGGACCACGCCAATACAAATCAAGTCGCGCTAAAGCTGCCGGCATGACGCCTCGCGACGCGCAGTCAGCGGGATTATCGGCCGACACGATGTGTTGCCAATAACAATCCGGCAATAAGGAGCGAATTTGGTGTACTCGATTGGACACATAAACTTTGAATGATTCATGGGGGGCCGTCAACCACGACAGCACGATCGTGGAATCCGACCAAGCCCGTAAACCGACAACATCGAGTTGCGGTGATAATATTTTTTGAATGCGACCTAACCAACGGGCTAACAATACTGCAGCATTCAACTCTAGTCTCGGGACCGTTAATACTTTCGTCGGGGCTAGCTTAGTCTTAGTACCAATTAAAAACACAGACTTATCTACTTCGGCATTGATCATCCGCACGTACACGACAGCCGCATACCCGATCTGTGACGCATCGCAAAATCCTAACAAATAACAGGGAGCGCCTTGACGGCCGTTAATATGTCGCGGTACACGGACACCTAATAACGACGGTAACTCAGCGACAAATGCGGCCCAGTCTGCGTGAATATCGTCCGGCAGCGGGTCGTCCCAAACGACACCGTGTCGCCACGTCCGCTGCATGATAGATTTCGCCAGAAACACCACGGGACCGAAAAGACCTAACGGGTCAAAAATGCGAGCAACAAGTGATAAAATACCGCGCTTCGTGAAGACAGGCGACGGTTTGAGATTTAACGCGCAACAAAAATAATCTTGTTCGGGATGCCACGCCAGACCCAACACCTTGGTGCCGTATCCGTCGTCATCACCAAACGGCATCGGCGCGCACGCGCGATCGGCGGCCGGAACAGCTTGCAACACGGCCGACGTGTTCGAGGCCCATTTCTTTAACTCTAAACCTGACTTACTTAAAACAGAGACCAAATCCGACTGAAGTTTCAACGCGTCGGAAATCGTGTCAGCACCGTCACAAATGTCGTCGACATACGTTTGGTACTCGAGCGCATTACGTACAGAATCTAAACCGTCGCAATCGGTCGACGCGATGGCCTGCAGAACGCGTAAGGCGAGATACGGGGCACAATTCACACCATACGTGACGGTGTGTAACTCGTACTCGAGTAGTTCATCGTGCGGCGACGCGCGCCACAGCACATGTTGGAACTTTCGATATTCCGGTAAAACTAGAATTTGACGATACATCTTACAGATGTCCGTCGTGAAGGTGTATTTGTGGACGCGGAAGCGAGTTAAGACATCCACAATGTCCTGTTGTAGCTTCGGGCCGGGCCACAAGCACTCATTCAGCGACGGTCCGCGAAAACACCGCGCGGACGCGTCGAATACCACGCGAATTTTGTTTGGGTCGACTTCCGGACGGTAGACAGCATGGTGGGGGATTATATATCGCCCCGGGGAGCTCGCTACTGACATGTGTCCTAATGCGATATACTCTGACATAAAATTAACATACAGCGATTTTAATATTGGATTTGCGGACAGTTTACGTTCGATAGCGTCAAACCGCCGTGTAGCTACCTCGCGAGACCCAACGAACGTCTCCGGCGGCGCACGAAATGGTAACGGGACCGCGAAACGACCTGATGTCAACCGCGTAGCTTCGTCGCGAAATATCTGCTCGCAACACCCCTCCTCAGTAAACGTAACCGGCGCGTTCTCGGGCTCCTCAACGTGCCAGAAGCGCTCCATTATCCCCTCTATGGACGCGGTCATAGACACGGGCAACGACTGATAATTACAATTTGCGTGATCGGGAACCGGGCCGATAAGGACCCACCCGAACACTGAACTAAAAGCAGTGGGTAGTGTACTGTCGATCGACACCTTACGCCCGTCCATAATAGAACCGTACACGTCCCCTCCTAGCAACAGGTCGATCGGCGATGTCAAATGAAACGACGGATCCGCGAGCGCGAGATTAGAAAATCGATTTTTAATATTTATTGCTAATGACTTTTGAGGTAGGTCGGTTGTGATGGTGGGCAACACCCATGCCTGAACCGACAGAATAGGATCGGACGCGAAACGCGGCTGCACAGTGCACTCGACATGTCCTTGGACTTCAGTGACCGTTGTCCCCGACAACCCGCTTATCGGAGCAGTCCACCGCGATATTTTTAAACCTAGTCGTTTTACGCATGCAGTGGTAACGGCGCTAATCTGCGACGCGCTGTCTATTAACGCACGCATTGTTTGCACGGAACCGGTGTTATCTCGCACGTGCACGAGGGCGGTGCCCAAAACGACAGCGGACGATCGGTGGGGGGACGGTGGATTCACAACCGACGCACACACCGCCGGTTCGACCGGTGGTGGTTCCTCCCCGCCCTGCAACTCGTCGGGTGACAAGTGTAGAAGCGTGTGGTGTTTGCGCGAACATTCTTTACAATTAGGCTTCAACTTACATTTTTGGATCCAATGACCGCCATTTAAGCAATTGAAACACACACGATTCTCACGGGCCCATTTGGTACGACCCTTGGCCGACCAAGACTTAAAACGCGCACAAATGCCTAACGCGTGCGATTCGGCACAACACGGACAAGTCGCTTCCCCTTTAGCCGTTACGAACGACATCGGCCGGGGACCGTTCGACTTCCCGACGTAATCTCCCACCTTGCGCGCTATACCTGACGGCTTGCCCGACTTGGATGCTGGCGCGGCAGAGGTACCAA